TTTAATTTTGAATGTATTTGGTTCAACATTCATCATTATTATTGCTAATTTGACATTGATCGTTCGAGTTATTGTCTGGAGAAAACGGCATATGAATATACGCGCAGTGCTTAATAATTTTAGATTGAGAGGGTTAAATAAACTCGAGTATAAATACCGCTACATTATGAAAAAAACACAAATTTGTTTATTCGAAAAATATCAATTAGATCCAGTATAGTTAAAAGGCCTACAAAAGATAATACGAAATATCATTTAAATATTATTCTATTGAAAAATAAGACCCTACCTGAAGATGCAATTTCTTTCAGTGTACGAAATGTTTGTCAAATAAACGTATTAGTGTGACTGTGCTAGTTCGAGAAAATTCTGTGTTACTCCTCTTCCATTGCATAGGTTTGTTAAATTACATCATAAGTTTGAGAAGAAAATATTCTGAGAAGGGACTAAATTTCAGACGAAATCATATCTCACTCTTTGCCAAATGAATTCTAACCACACATCATGATAATTCATGTCTTGTTGTTGATTCATTATATATTATAAGTTGCAAACGGCAATGTGTATATGTGATACCCGTTCTGATATGAATCATTGGAATAACCACTAACTATGCAGCGATGTTCTACCCAACAGTTACTTTGACACGTTTGAAGAATGTCAGTTAAAGTGCAGTTGTTTTGATCAAAAATGTACCTTAATGTAAAAGTGAAATTGTTCTGACTCGACGAATTCATGTATATTTTATGGCGAATGTAATTACTATGAACTGCTGTTGTATAATCTTCTTTATTTCTCTTTATTTTTTATAATTTTGTTCACATATTATCTGATTTATTGACAGTTACAATCAAAGGTGAAAGAGCACTTTTTTTATTATAGTACTGTTTAGCAATTTTCCGCATCAGTTACTAATTTGTCACTGAATGTAGATGATAGGATAAAGCGAACAATATCAGAGATAAATGGTGGCAAAATACACAAATGTTTAACAATATGTTTTAATCAGCACGATGATGATTTAAAAGAACGAGAATTATTTACAATTTAATTTATATTTCTTTGCTTTTATATCAGCTGTTGCAACTAGACACATCAATGGTGTTATTAATGCACTTAAATATGGTGTATAAAGGAGATAAACGGTTGTTAGATATTGTAAAAAATTTGGTTTATAAACCAGACGAATAAATAGGACAACGATTAACGGTAGCCATGATATTGAAAATAACAGTGATATTAATAGTAATTGGACAACCATTTTGAAATTTTTTCTCCATTCATTAGTTACGCGTATATTCATATGCCGTTTTCTCCAGACAATAACTCGAACGATCAATGTCAAATTAGCAATAATAATGATGAATGTTGAACCAAATACATTCAAAATTAAATCAACGTTACGTATAATTATCTGATATTGATAACATGGTCCAAAACAAAGCAATTGCTTATAATTCAATTGAGTATTTGAACATGGATAGAGAAGAATAAAATAACTATACCACACGATGGCATATAATGAGCAACATGTTATGGGAAAATAATGATATAGAACGGATCTTGTTCGTATAAGTGTGGGATAAAATATAAATAAATGTCGTTCAATTGATGCCCATGCAACGAAAAATGATATGTGAGCATTTAATAGATGATTCCAGTAGATCCATATTAAACAAAATTGAGCTGTTGATGGTTTCAATTGACCATTGTTATGCAAAAATGCTAAAGTTATTGGTAGTTCTGTTGAACATGATAAAAAATTTGATATTAATATACAAATAATTATATGATTTTGTAAACGACAACGTAATTTACGATTGATAATAAATTTGTGGAATAAATACAATGAACAGCATATCGATGGTATTTGGAAAATAATCAACAGATAGAATTTCAATCTACGAGTTGTCGATGTTTCGTAAGTATCTGGTAACATTATTGTGAGTAGTCACGCAATCATTGCAGATCTAGATGTATGAGAAGTTCTGATTTTTCATGTCACTTCTAACATATGAACGATAAGTACATTTTTTAGATGAGAACTAATTATGACTATTAATTATTCTGTTCGATGAACAGAAGAAAAGGAAAAGTATAAAAAAAAGACAGGAAATAAATTAGCTTTCTGTTTTGAGAGTAAAATGTGATGGAGAAGAGCATCATGTTTTCTTTTTCTTCCTAAAAGGCCTATACATTGCAAAAGAATGTTTTTGCATTTACAGTTTATTCACTTACACTGAATAAAGCATCTACTTGAAGTGTTATGACGTGCATATCTCCGCCAGGTGTTTATCGTGTGCTTAACAAGTGCAGTACATCTGATTTCCATCTGTAAAATATAGAAAACTAAATTCTGCTCGATCTTTGCCCTACGTGCATGTTATATTAGCGAAGTAAAAGACGACCGAAGATGTATTGAATTCTATAGAATACAATACATTTGCGCTTATATCAAACTTGGCAAAGAAAGTCTGCATTGTGTGCCAGAGCAGAGTCGTCAATGTACCAGCTATTCGCCGTAATCAGGTTTAGCTTTTTGGCGATCATTTTCATTATTTGTTTATGATATAAAACTGCCTTCGTGTCATTCTGGCTGATAGTGCCTTAGTTGAAATCAAATTAAAATAGCATACTGAGACACGAAGATTGTTTCTGTCGTGTTTTGTTACAGATCATACATAACATACTATCTCATTTCACTCAGGAAATCATGTATTTACTCTTGTGTTAAATTCATTTTCCTGTATATATGACAGTGGAAATTGCAATTCAGGGGAATTCTAATTTCCACTATTGCAAATTAGAATAAAGTGACTATTCTAATTTCAACTAGTGGAAATTAGGATTCTATTTTGCACTATAGGGGAATTCCGAATTCCACTAGAAAATAAATCATACAGATTACAAATCAGACAGAATATTTCCATCTGTAAAATATAGAAAACTAAATTCTGCTCGATCTTTGCCTTATTTGCATGTTATATTAGCGAAGTAAAAGACGACCGAAGATGTATTGAATTCTATAGAATACAATACATTTGCGCTTGTATCAAACTTGGCAAAGAAAGTCTGTAGCTCTGCTAACGTAGAATTCTAGCTTAGTTCAGCTAGACTATATATTACCCAAGGTAATATAAGTGGAACCCACTGGACTTTTGGATATTAATGTAAACTAAGTTGAAAAAGTCGCATATTAAGTTAACTCAAAAAAGACCACATAAGTTACTTTACTTTAAGAATTAACATATTAATTGTAATTTTTCTTTATTCAAATCTTATTTTATAGATGTTTTGATTGAATTTTGTAAGCGGATTTCAAATATCAAGTATATTTTAATTAAAAACAGATTTTAACTGAATATAAATGGATTTTATATAGAAAACCTATTGTGAGGTCCAGAAGGATTTGCACATTGTGTTTTGATAAAGATGAACAGATATTTCGATGAACACGTAGGATTTCTTTTATTTAGTTCTAACGTATATTCATTTGCGGTTATATAAAAAGTATATCGGAATTGGGAAGGTATGCATCATTTTTAAAAATCATGCTATTCTGTTCAGATCTTTTCTCTGTTCAAGCTGCTGATGTAACGACGTTGCCTATCACGAAAAGGAGTCAACAATCTACTTTTTGTACCTGCAAGAGCACAAAAATGTTTTTTATACAAGTAGTTGTAGCGTTTCTTATTATTAGTCTTCCTTTTTTTTTGTGTCGGATTCAACAAAATTGATATTTTATATCTGTGCAATTTTGAAGAACTATATGGAATAACAGCAGTGTCCGATACAAGCTATAGATGGATATTCTTTTTCTCCTTCTGTTCGTTCACTAGGATAAAGTACAAAAAGAGAAAGTGGAAAGAAAAACATGTATTCCGAACGAAAAAAAAGAGAGAAAGTAATAAACGGCGTTAATTCCCACATAAAACCAGTTTTTCCTCTATTTCTCGAAAACTAGACTTTGCATCTAAAAACACACGCTGGATTCGGAATCTACGTAAGAAACTGAATCAGAATACATATACCGGTTTCTTTCAAACCGGACGCAAGTATAATAGACTCGATAATACTTAGTATAATAACAAATCAATAAATCTGTGATGAGTGTATTTCCTTACTGTACTTTTCTAAGGAAAAGAGGTTCGTGCTAATATCCAAAGCCCGGTTTCGATGTTCAAATTTCTTGTTGTTGTTGATTCAATATTGCGGCATCCCTCGCCGGATCAAACGCCGAGTATTTTCCAAATCCGGCCATATGTGAAGCTGTGCAATGGGAACATTTATGCTTGCTTTATCCTGAAAGCAATTTGTTTTCGTTTATAGTTACGAAACTTGTTTTCTGTGTCAATGTTTGAAGAAAATAGGATAGAGATAGATGTATATTCTCCTCCTCATTCTCTCCGTTCATCATGAAAATGGTGAAACGAATAGAAAGAGAGAGAAAGAGAGAGAGAGAGAAAGAGAGGGAGAGGGAGAAGGAGAAAAATACCTAATTTCAACGTAAAAACAGTTTCTCGCTTCCTTTTCAAAAACTAGACGTTCCACCAGAAAACAAACATCAGATTTGGAATCTGCAGGCAAGCAGGAATCAGAATATGTATGCTGTTTTACTCTAAATCGTCACTCAAAAAATAGGTCTGATTTGCTATGTCATCACAGGGTCTGGAAGAAAAGATTTCGGAAAACAATGGTTTCCCAGAAAACCTAAAGATCTGGAAATTCGTTTTCAAAATTTTTCGACCGCACCAGTCGACAACCCGTACAAGTCTGCACAAAATGAGATGTCAACCAAAGGACGGGTCCGTAGAAGCTAAAGAATCGACCCACTTTTTTTTTTGCTCAAAATGGTCCTGAGACTAGCAGAAAACCAGGAACATTCGATTTTAGGTGCTTTCGAGTGGTTAAAGTCCTTCCATCCCGATAGGATCTTCACTTGGAAGCGGCCGTTATGGAGCACTATTAAAATTTTTCTCATGCGCTTTTCTCTGGCACTATAGGACCATATAAAGAAATCAACTCATAATTAGAAAGCTCTTTCAATTCTCTACAAACCGGTATATTCAAAATATCTTCGTCGATTTGTAAAAGATCATTAAGTTCGACTTAACAAGTATGACTAGAGAAAAATGCGACCTGGAGATCATTAAGCTAACTTTTTTCGAAAAAATGAAAAACCCATTTTTCTAAAATAGTGCGTTTTATAGCTCTTTCAATTCTCTACAAACCGGTATATTCAAAATATCTTCGTCGATTTGCAAAAGAGCATAGGATCTTTGATTGTTCCGTACCTGTTGGCGTTTTTTAGTGATAATAACAGTAGAGTTAATCTGGGATCCAGGAAAAACGCGGAAATACGTTTTTTGTTGCGTTCAGGCATGTTTACCGGACTCGTTGATATATGGGAATGCATGTATGATAAAAATGTGATTGTTTATCATAGATGTAGCATGTTTGATCACGAGAATTCGACAGGAACGAAAAAAGTTTAATATAGGAAAAGACGTGGATGAATTTGACACTTGTGACGTGAAACGAAAAAAAGAGAATTCGTTGACTATTGTGAAATGTGCTAATAGTTTCGTTTTGTTGCTGGCCATATACTACTGGATAATGCATGAAACCTGTGTTGGTTGTGATCGGAGATTTGACGGTAAGCGTAAGAAGCGAAAACTATCCTATATACTCGAACAAGCGTTCTTGTCTGCTCGATATTTGAAAAATGTTTCTCTCGGTTCATATATGTGTGATTCCAAGTGTCGTCTTGAATATCTTAAATGGTTAAAGTATAATAATGAATTACAGTGTTTATTGAATGAAGGTGCAGTAATGTCAGATAAAGTGAGTTTTAT